TAACCTTGAGTAGAAGTTAGGTTGGACTGGGGAAAGAGAGCTTGTTCTTTGCCGTCGATCGAGCAAGGCGAGGAGTCGAGCGAGACGACGCGAGAGAGAGGTAGTCTTAGCAGTGCGCTCAGATTTGGGGGGTCTCGCTAGGACCACCTAACGAAGGAGTTAGTGAAAGCGAGTCCCACTTAATACCATTAAACTTAGTCCTGGTAGCCAACAAACAGAGGATTACACTAAAAATTAGTCCAGTCCAGTCCAGGTTAGTGAAGCCAAACAAACGTGCCCTTAATGTATCTCAGAATCCTTTTAACTGAAGCTAAATGATTACATCATTTATATTTATACACTTGCTTTAAGTAGGAGCTGATTAACAACTTTACAATTAGTTACAACCACTATGACAGCTGTAATCAACAGCTCTAACTAATTTGGCTTTATGAGTTGGCATTTGACTGCTGACTGTTTTTATGTGTCACTTGAGTGTGATCTAACATTATTCACCCGTATTTGCTGAACCATAGGGAAATACATTGACAAGACATGTTCAGTCGCAATAGTATTATATCTATTCTTTGCACATCATATATTGCTCCAGGTGAAAAGAGCTGTTGAAATTTGATGGGGCAACATATTGGTCCTACACTCTAGTGTCTTACTTTATCTCCTGCACTCTTGTTTCGTGTCCCAATTTACACTATTTCGTCAACAAAACTGTTAAGTTGCTGAAGTGACATGGATATTATGATACATCTCTTCATTAAAAATAGAATACAATAAAAAAATGAAAAAGAAAAAATGAAAAACAATTCAAATCCCACATCTCTCCTCCCTCCAGACACTTCCTCTCTGTCTTTCTCCTTCTGCAATCACCGTATCATCTTCTTCCATCTGATATGGTTCTTTGAGTTAAGAAGAAAATTTGTGGGGAAGGATATGAGCAAATTTTGTAGGTAAGTGTAGACATGAGCAACTTCCCTTGAAAGTTTTGTTGGTTCTCTTTCTTCTTCACCACTGTCAAATGCTTAATTTAATTTTTCTTCAAAAATTGCTTAGTTTGTGTAGCAACAATAAGGAAAGGATTCTCTTTCTTTTTTTTTTCTTCTCTCTTGAAAAGATTTCCAGGCCTTCCCCTTTCATTTCCATTAGATGAGATAAAGAATCGTCTAGGAGTGACTTTCAACGATGACATCTATAATCTTGGCATTCACTGCAGCCGATTTATATGAAGCAGGGAGAGATTATTACTTAGACAAAAGAAGTTGCTCATATTTACAAATGAGAATGCTTAATGTAAAGAAGAAGATGAAAATAAGAATTGAAGAAGATGAAACGGTGACTAAAGGAGAGAGAAAAGAGGAAAGGGACTTTAGGGAGGAGAGATGTTGGTTTAATTATCATTTTTCATCTTTTAATTGTATTGAATTTTAATGGAGAAATTTTATTATTATTTGTTGACAGAATTGACGAAATAGTGTAAACTGGGTCTCAAAACATGAGTGCAGGGGTAAAGCGAGAATCGGCAAAGAGTACAAGTGTCATTGCTAAAAAGAAGCTTAAAAGTTATTGCTTCTTGGGTGAACACACAGAACCACTCGTTCTTTAACAATTGGATAGGTGGATGGCCCTTGATTGAAAACTAGATAACGAGTAGATGATTATGTTGTGAATAAAAGTGTATGTCTTCAAATTCAGCCACTCATACGGAAACAAATGACCATACGAGTAAAAGATTTGCTTCTACTTATACCAATTGATTGATGATGAATAATGGATTCTTCTGTCAAATTTTAACCCTTAAATTTTTATCATTTTCCATATGCATATGTAAACTTAGTTATCTTCAGTATGCATTAGAATGTACTGCAGAAAATTAGTGCATACAAACCACTTGCATGTAATGGACGAGAGATGATTGTGGATTGCCTAATAAAAATATCAGGTATTTTCCTTCATGTTTTTGTTCCTTTTCATTTACCCGAGGCTTGTGGTTTTTAATTGGCAGTTTATAATGACGACGGGGTACCAGCTTCATTCAAAGTCCCTTTGGGCGCAGTGATACCATTTGGCTCTATGGAGTTGGCATTGGAACAAAGCAAATCCACCGAATTATTTAGGTCGTTACTAGATAAGGTAGAAACACAGAAGCTGGAAGGTGGGGAACTTGAACAACTTTGCAGTCAGCTCCAGGAACTAATCTCTTCCCTACAGCCCCCGAAAGACATTATTGATAGCATAGGGAAAATATTTCCTGAAAATGCATGCCTAATTGTTCGTTCAAGTGCTAATGTTGAGGACTTGGCTGGAATGTCAGCTGCTGGATTATATGACTCAATTCCCAATGTTAGTGTTTCAAATCCAACAGTCTTTGCAAATGCTATTAGCAGAGTATGGGCTTCACTTTACACTCGGAGGGCAGTATTGAGCCGTCGAGCTGCTGGTGTATCTCAGAAGGAAGCTACAATGGCAATTCTGGTGCAAGAAATGCTTTCACCAGACTTATCATTTGTGCTTCATACAGTCAGCCCAACGGACAAAAATCATAATTCTGTTGAGGCTGAAATTGCTTCTGGCCTTGGTGAAACTTTGGCTTCAGGCACTAGGGGCACACCCTGGCGTTTATCGTCTGGGAAATTTGATGGGAATGTACGAACTCTGGCATTTGCGAATTTCAGTGAGGAGCTAGTAGGTGCAGTCCTTGCTGATGGGGAGGTTATCCATTTGACTGTAGACTACAGCAAGAAACCGTTAACTGTTGATCCAATTTTCCGTCATCAGCTTGGTCAGCGCCTCAGTACAGTGGGATTCTTTCTTGAGCGGAAGTTTGGCTCCCCGCAGGATGTAGAAGGATGTCTTGTGGGCAAAGATATCTATATAGTCCAGACACGACCGCAACCCCTATAAATTCTCCTTTTGTAACCGTATATGGGTACTCATTGGAGACAGCAGCTGTATGCACGATCTTCGGGTGGCTCAGCAGGACTCTCTTGCGGAACATTCTGGTATGTACGAGGTATTGAATACGTATGCTTGTTTGCTTAAGGTACATCAGTGTGTGGCTTCTGTATACTTACTGATGTGATATAATGATAAGTAGACAACTTTCCGTTTGAGGCGGAAAGTTGAAAGGATATGATCTGAATAATTGTAGTTCTGAGTAATATTGTATGTTCGATTATTTAGGGTTTCTGTAATAATATAACACTTGATCAAAGCCAAACTAAATAATGGTCCCTGCTTTGTATAAATAATTTGGATCAGGCATTGTCTAATTTATCTATCTTGAGTTCTTCATTGGTACGGAGATGCTAGCAATTCTTTTTTATTTTATTTTATTTTATTAAGGAGAGGTCGTACTTGATGCGATGACAAGTGCTTTCGTCCATGAGCGGTAGGTCTCGAGTTCGAGACTTGGGAGCAGCCTCTCCATAAATGGGGGTAAGGCTAGCCGACATTCACCTTTTCCAAACCCCGCGTAAAGCGGGAGCCTTGTGCACTGGGTATTTTATTTTATTAAGGGACAACATTATATTATAAGGAGAAAAATTTCAGCGCAATTGGGGGTTGTTCGATGAAAAGAAGTGTGCGAATTCAGACTCGACCCCAAGTTAAACCCTGGGCCCTAAACCTCCATCGGAAGCAGGCCTTGGGCATGGACGCTGTGCCTCAACGGGGCTAGTAGGGACTACCAATGTGAACTTGTAGAGCATGTTTACTTACCATGCATGGGAGTGGGAATGAATGTGTATGATTTATAATTCTGAGTTTACTAACGCTTAGAGAATGCATTAATTAAGTGGCTTCCATCAATTTTGGATATGGAATATCTTAAAAAATGAAGGTATTCCATTAACTTTTGGGAGGGGAAGGGGAGGGTTGTTTATATCATACACAATCCTTCACATCGCCATTTCCTCTAATCCATCGTATCATGTCCTCATATCATGTAAGTAGACATGCTTGTAATTTTTTATTTTTGGTCATGTTGGAGTAGATAATCAGCACAAACTTCGTAGAAGATAGTCATTGAACGTTCTTGGATCTATCTTGCAAAATAACGGAGAATTGGATGGAGATCTCAACCATAGAATACAAGTTAGATGGATGAAGAGAAGGAGTGCATCGTGTATGTCGTGCGACCGTTGTATGCCACTAAACCTTAAGGGAAATTTTTATAGGATGACAATAAGGCCAGCAATGCTCAATGACAGACTGTTGGGCAGTAAAAAATCAACACGTGCAAAAAATTAGTGCAGTAGCAATAAGAATGCTCTGTTGGAAGTGTAGGCACACAAAAAAAGATAAGATTAAGAACGAGGATATCCGAGGTAAAGTAGGAGTGGTCGTAATTAAATATAAGATGAGAGAATCGGTTAAGGTTGTTTGGACATATGAACCGAAGACCTGTAGAGGTCTGGTTAGAAAATGCGATTATGAGACAAAAGCTATGCGGGGTAGAGAAAGACCTAATAAGATTTTGAAAAAGACTTTAAGAAAAGACATAAAGTATTTGGAAGACTTGATGCACAATCAGGCGCAGTGACGTTTTAAGATTCATACAGTCGATCCCACTTAGTCAAATAAAACTTTGTTGTTGTTGTTGATAATTATTGGACAAACGAAAATGCTCTCTTAATCATCTGATGACCAAAAGAGCGGAACTCTTGGCTGAACATGAAAGGTGTGCTTTTACATTTGTGTTTTCATCTACATGTTATCCTGCATACTGCTTTTCTTTTCTGATCATCATGACTTCACGCTGCTCCTTTGATCATGTTAATCATGACTCCCATGCTTCTTTGTACAATTGAACAATTTTCTCCTCCTTTTTTTTTAACATTTTTTAATATAAAGGGAACAAATTGTACCAGAAAATAATTTGTAATCAACCAGAATGTGCATACTGCATAGCATACGCATAGGGGGTAAAATGGTCAGTTCAATCTCAATCACCTAGTGCCATCCAAGCTTAGCAGTTTGTCCTCCAACATTATATATAACACACATTCAACTGCATACAATTCGCTCCAAATCCTCTTCTCATACAATACTTTGTACAATATAATCCGACGTCGTATTCCGTAGTTCCCTGCACAGATAGAGAGAAACCGAGTGAATTAAAGCATCCAGTCCAATCCAACCAAACCTTTGTTTACACTCTTCTTCACCCATCCTTTCCTCCATCTTTTCGTGCTTTTTTTGGTAAAAATGTCGGCAGCTGTGGGCGCTATTTCTGCAACCAAAGGTGCAACTTTCAATTCTCAAATGGCAGAAGAGGAGCTCGTTAACAGTGACAAGAAAAACATGGCTGCAAGTGTTGAAAAACCGAGCCAGCTGCTACCCAAAGGTGACGATGGTCATAGTGATGAGGTTGATCTGGATGAAGAGGACGATGAGGTCGCCGCATTGGAATCGGAAAAGGATCAGTTGGTTCTTGGCCCTCAGTTTTCTCTCAAGGAGCAGCTTGAGAAAGATAAAGTACGTCACTATTTTTTTACTTCATTATGTCAGTTTTACATTGCATGGTTAATTTGTACGTTTTTCTTCTTTTTTGTCTGTTACTATAATATTGTTCATTACGTTTATAATTCTTCAAAGGATGATGAGAGTTTGAGGAAATGGAAGGAGCAACTTCTTGGGAGTGTTGATCTCTCTGCTGTTGGAGGTGTTTAACTGATTTTCTCTTATCTTTTTAAATAAACTTCTAAATGTTTTGAAAATCTATGATTTCTACTGAGTGGAGAAATTAATTCCAAGTGTTTGAAATTGATCAGAGAGTAAAGAACCGGAAGTGAGGGTACTAAGTCTCACAATCGTCTGCCGGGGCCGGCCGGATCTTGTCCTGCCGATCCCGCTTACTCACAAACCCAAGAGCAGTCTGTTCACACTCAAAGAAGGATGCCAGTACCGCATCAAATTCACATTCTCCGTCTCCAAAAACATCGTCTCAGGCCTCAAGTACACCAACACTGTGTGGAAGACTGGTGTTAGAGGTAAAAACTGAATCATAATCATATATAATCACATTATTGATATTAGCCAGTAATTTTACAGTCTAGCGGTATTCATTTCCACTTATAAATAAGATGTCTTAAATTCAACTTCCATGAATGATTGACGAGTTCGATACAATATCCTTCTAAACTTTTTGACAGTGGACAATTCAAAGAGAATGCTTGGAACATTTAGTCCTCAAGAAGAACCTTATATATATGAGACTGCAGAAGATACTGTTCCTGCAAGCATATTTGCCAGGGGCTGGTATTGTGTGAGAACCAAAGTAAGTTTTAATTTCAACATCACTAATTAGAGATACACACACACACACACACATGTAATTAACTTTGATTTGGTAATTAATTTGTTTCTGTTTGTTTCAGTTTTTGGATGATGATGGAAAGTGCTATTTGGACATGAGCTACTACTTTGAAATCCAGAAGAACTGGCCAAAATCCACTTGAAACTAATTTCCATCTGTTTTTCAGCAATTAATATTGGCTTAATCAAATGACCATGCGGTACATTGTGTTGTTTAGTGAAGTTTTCCAGTCTATAAGTTAATTATCTTTGTCATCCATCTTTGAGATTGGCAATTGATGCTTCAAATGAACCTTTTCAGCTGTGAGATGATGTTCTTCCTCCTCTCATGTTGTTGTATCTTGTAATCATACTGAGCACAATCCAATCCATATGTTTATGTGATTCAATAAGAAAGCACTGTACCAAGACATGCATGCTTTTTAATGAATTTCTTTTCCTTTTCTGTTTCACTCTTCTATTTTGCTATTTTATGTTTTTGTCGGTGGTCCACTACTAATTACATAGATATTATCTCAACTTAATCAATTAACCACTGCACAATCCGAGAACAATTGAATTTTATCACAAAATTAAGGTTTCAGTGGAATTACGAGTGGAACCATTTAATATAAATTGCAGTTTATTCTCTCAAATCTCTAATGTAGGACTAGATTCTTCAAGACAAGTGAGGACCTCAAGTGCAAGGATGAATACCGTTAACCAATTGCTTGCCCTTCTTTCCTATTTCAATTTTTTATTTTATTTTTTGATAATTAAGCTCTGATAGTGTGAATGGTTCCCCACCAAAGATGCTTCAAACATGTAATTGATAAATTTGTGAAGGGATGGATGACACCGAAATTAAAATTAGAAAGTAGAGAAGGCCATGTGATGGAAATCAATCACTACTGCTTGTGCTTTTAAAAAGCAAAGTTGCGCCAAAAGCTATATGTCAATTTCTTTGTTCTTTTTATTTTATTTTTTTGGTAGTTCAGGGACTGATCAGGGACCAGAGTTATGACCCTTACTGTATTAAGTCATGATACGATCACATGAATGCATGCTTCTTCTGCAACAGGAGGGACAACAGCAACATAAACAAAAGGTGCTGCAACACTTCTCTCTTTTTTTAGATTAACTAATAAAGTTTATTTATTTAACAAAAACAAAATATATGATGTAGTTGGAAGAGAAGATAAAGGAGATTTGTTGATTGATAAATTTGAGTTGGGTTAATGATTGTAGGTTTCTGTTAGAGTGTCCCAATTTTCTATCTACCACTGTTCTGAGGGTTCATTTAGTTGTTCAGAAACCACTTTAATCAACAATGATAATGTTAGTTAAGAACTTGAGTGTGTTTGGTTGAACTTGGAAAATATATGTAAGGTTTGTGTGTTATATTTTACATCAAACGGTTAAGATCTAAATTACAGAAAAAACGATTCGAACAAAGGAGAAAGCACGTGGTAACCAACTTGACTAATCTTAATTTTGCAACATAATTTGTGTTTGGTCAAATGGCTTGTGTGAGACAATGCTTAGTCTTGTGATGTAATGGAGATATTTTTCCTTGAGTAAATCGTGATTGGAATTGTTCCTGTATACGAGATAATGTGACATAATATTGTACAACATTGCTTTTCGACTCTACTGACTAGCTAACATAATTGAATGAGTCTTTGCCCGAATTATCAATAAAAACAGTGGGGGTATCTCTCCTCAGGTCAATTCAATGGTTTGTTTTACTTCTCTAGTACATAATCAAGTTTCTTTTGACGTACACATGTGCTTTTGTTTTTCGTTTTTTTTTTAATTATTGTTCTTATAAGGGGTGGGAAAAAGGTTCGAAACTAATAGATCGGGTTAATGTATATGTACATTTACATTCATTGGTGAACATTCATGTCAACAAGTTTCAATAAAAATGAGGGGGAAATTGGATGGTGAAGAGGGCAGTGTGGTATGTTAGTTTATTGCGTTCTTTAATATTATATACCTCTATACTTAAGTCATTTTCCTATATATCCAAAAAAAGAACTAGAGTGCACCATTTGCCAAAAAAAAAAAAAACCCTAAAAACAGTGAAAGAAACTTAAATACAACGAGATGTTACTGTGGTAGGATTCAAATCACTCCCACATTTTAATTTTTTCACATAATGGTGAATGCTTGATTTTGAATAACGTCACAATGACATTTTTGTTGCGCATAGTTCTTTTTCCTAATTTTCTAAGCAGTGGAAATGATGTATGTCAATTCATAGGAGTGTTACCGTCTTGTTGGTAAAACATGATTACGTTGGAATGAAGAACTCTCAGATTTCAAAGTATATATAAAAGTGGAACCGAATGATTTTTCATTTTGAGGTAATTTATCTTATACCCTCTAGGTAGTTATAATTTTATAATTCCTCACTTCAACGTACCTTTAATTTAATAGATTTTTCATTCTAGTCCAATTCAATCATGTCTACCAAACTAGCCTTTAGAATTCGAAAATAATATAAAAGGCAACATCCCCAATATACATCTTGTGACAAGCATGTACAAAGATGCTGGTACAGGCCATCTGGGAAAATGGAAGAAGAAAAAAGAATACGCGACAGGTGGTCATATTTTTTAATTTTTCCCTTCAATATACATGCAATTGAGTTTTCAAAATTTGAACACCATTTCGCATAATGAGTTATGAAAAAATGAGAACCAAAAATAGAAAACTGTTGTAGGCATAATTTACTGAACAATTATGGAGGCCTTAGAGAGAGAGGGGGTGCGGCAATAGAGAGAAGAATAGAGAGATGTGTAATTGTGGGTGTGTGTTATCTCACCCCATTGTGCCTTTATTTATAGTAGTAGGAAGGGTAAAACCTTTCTCTTTAGGATTATAACATTTAATAGGTAATCTAATCCTAATAGGAATATAAGATACATTCCCATATTTCCTAGGATTTACACAATCACATTCCTATTCTAAATAGGATTGCAACACTCCCCCTTGAGTGTGTAAATACTCAAGTAAATGGCGCATCAAGTCTTCATTGATGAAGTAAGTACAATTGATGAAGTCGTCGGCACAATGGGCAAATGCGAGTCTCAAATCAACGGAAGAATGCATAAAAAGTAAAACCCACAAAACTTCGCTATGGTAAAACCCAAGATGGGAGAAAAACCCATAGTCTAAGGTGAAAAGTGAGAAGTTGCATTAAGTCAAAACAATACGTCTTTTGGGCGCAAGTATAAGAGCTCTCAAGGGTATGATCAGCCTAGGATGGGTGCCTCGTTAAAACCTAGTTAGGTAGCAAAAACCCAGTGGGAAAAATGCTCCTAATCATAGGGAAAAAGAGTACATTAAGATCAAGTGAGTATACTTCTGGATACTCTCCCTGAGTTTGACATAACTTCCAAATGAGAACTACAAGCATTGCATATGAGTAGTTAGGCATACCAATTCCTCGGACAAGCTTCTGGAAGGTTGACTTCGACAGTGACATCGTGTAGAGGTCGGCAAGGTTGTCTGGGATCGGTTTGTATGACTTCAATCTCCCGATGCTTTGCTGATGTAAATGTAAACACAATATGTCTTGGTGTTGACTTCGTTGATGTATCATGGCTTGGTCGGGTTGATACATGTGGCATAATCTTCATGGATCGTCGTTGGGACTCAACGATGGATGAAAATATAGCAAGTACTTTGAATATGCTCAACAAGAACTCCAAACCATGTCTCACTTGTGGCATAGTGAAGTAAGGTGAGTCTTGGAATGATTCGAAGATTTTCGCAACTAGGGTCATATCGTGGACCTCCAAGATATTGCGATATCCCTAACGGTAAAGACATAACCATTCGGGGATTTTGCCTTGTGCGGGTTTGATAAGTAACCAGTGTCAGCATAACAAACAAGGCAAGCATCATTTCGAGGATCAAGGGGTTAGATCCGCTCAAGATGCGTTGGGATTTGCCCACATAATACCTTCAGGCTACGTCTTTAATACCAATTCAGTGGTTGCGTGTATGCGCGGTGCTGCATCTTTACCAAGATCAACAGCGAAGGAGATGTCTTATCTAAATACAATGAACTAAGTACAACGAAGCGCAAAGTTAAACTTTTAGATATGGAATTTCAGATTCCATAGACTCTTCAAGAGTCTCATTTGCATATAACGTATGGACGATCATGGGTATACTCAAAGGTGACACATTCTGGGTGTAGTTCAACTGGTAGACCAAAATACCGTCAGAACAATGCTTCAACTTCAGGTCAAGGCATAAACGAGTTTTCCCAAGATCCTTCATCTCAAATTCCATCTTCAGGTGCGAGGCAGTTTTCTCAAGCTCTTCCAGAGTCTTAGTGAGATTCGTGTTAACGACATAAACTGTAACTCTAGCAATTTGGAATAAGACTTCATAGTTTAACACGTAAGGGCATAATTCATATCCTTGACTGATCAAATAATCACTTAGACGGGTATACCACATCCGTCGGATTTTTCAATCCATAAGTGAACGCCTTAAAACGAGTTAAGAGGGTGTTCCGTGGTTTGAAACTATTTGAACCAGTCCATGTAATTATTCGGGAACTTACACGTAAATTTCCGTATTTATATTCCCATGGAGAAATACTAACCACATTTCATAATGCTGCTATCAATCACATGACGTTTTGAGAGAAACCTTGCGCCATAAGACGTGCATCATATCGCACTATTTCATTCATCTCATAACGTTTCCTTTCCTACTTGTAACTCAACAGGGTTACCTTGGGCAGTGTAGGAACGACAGGTCCAATACACACTTTGGTAAGGAATTTGACCTGGATTGTAACTTTAGTTGTCCAATCAGTTCTACGTTGTCACTTAATCAACGGAACACGGTTTGATATCGTCGCTTTCATTTATGTCGGTAGCTACCATACAAGTGAAAACATCATCGATGATAATCTCATTTCAATTCCATTTTCTCATCCAAACTAGTATACTGAACCAAGAACTTCAAGTCTCGGGAGTAATCCGGATTAATCTCATGAGATGGAAATGATTTGAGACAGCGAGCGAGTTTAGATTCATTGTTGTGCCGTGTCTTCCTCTTCCAGGGAAGTGAATCCTACGAACCAAATGATATGTCGTGCTCCAGGCCAAGACATATTGATTGACTATCCACCGGTGTACCGGCCCGTCTAACAGGGGCGTCTAAACCATCCAACATGGGCGGCACACCCTCCAGGGATGTTGACTCGACGTCCGTTAAGTACGTCTATCCCTGCATGCATGTTTGCAGCTGGTATATGATCTCGTCACTTTAGCTAGATCAGAGGAATGTGTCTGGAGTAACATTCTGAAATCTAGAATTCGTCGCACTTACTTATCACACTTGTGCGGTATGGGGATCGAGATGAGACATAGTGGGCAACGTCCATGCAAATTCACGCCGTTCTACAGGAACGTTGACGTTCTTATCTCCCCCTAAC